ATTTATATACACCTTGGTTGTAAGGGGGAAAAAGTGGTTTACAAGAAGAATAAAACAATAAAATTATTTTTTAAAAACCCTATGTAAAACATTTTTAAAAAATTAACGTTAATGAGCTAAAAACAGATTTAAACATACATCAATTGTCTGCATGTCTGGACAGGATTGTCTAAATTTTTTTTTAGCAGATACCGAAAAGGGTACAGCAATTCCACCTGCCTGATGTCAACAGGCAAGGAGTTCCAAAGTGTGCAGGTGCTGCCAAACTAAAACATTGCTTTCTTACAAATGCAGAACGGTATTATGTGGCACCTGTAAGAGTGACTGTGATTAGGGCTGCTTCCCAGTTTAAAGAAATCTTAATAGATTGATCATACAATGCTTTTTAAACCAATGAACTGATTAGACCTGCATGTCCATAAAATACTCACAGCTGTGAAGGAAAAGCGGCCTCCTTTCTTCCCTCTGTAATAGTGTGCTGCATGTGTCACAGCTGGCCCCAATCCCTTCTGTGTTAGGAGGAGGAGGAGGTGGAGATGCCTGATGCCCACAGATGCATAAATAGCTATAACAATTAACATTTAAAAAAATGAAAACCGTGAAATCTATTGTCCAATTAAATCAGAGGCATGTTTTAATGGATCTAATCGCTTTTAGTAGTGATATAATATTGCTGTCATACTTCTTGTTGGTTATAATCTGAGGCAGATGAAAGGAAGGAGGCAACGGAGCTCAAATGAAAAATGTCCTTTAACAGATCAGCAGCTGCAGCCACCTCTGCAGAGATGGAGCCATCCCTCTTGCTGCCCAAAGGATGATCTGGGGAAGACAGGTTCCTGTCGGGTCAGCCCCTCTCCCTTTTGGATCTCAGGCTGGAGGGGACAAGGGCTGGGTTGGCTTTGCCCTGCAGCCAAGAATTGGCCCAGCAGACCTCAGCCTGACTTTCCCCAGTGTCACTATGGGGACATTATTTTGTTAATGCTTGGGTCCTTCCTTTCCACCAAATGATACTTGAGGCATCTGATAGTAACATGGAAAACTGTCAATCAGCTGACCTTTGAAAAACACGGTGCTGTTTTTTCATTTCTCCTAGAAAGCAATAGAATCTGCTTTGTGCCTTCATTTTTAAATTGATTAGTTAAAAGCCCAGGCAGTTCACCTGCTAAATACCTGAACAGGTTGGTTGATGTAGGATTTAGCAAATGCCAGCAGACACAAAGCCTGCTTCTCTGTGCAGAGTGACCTTCCTGCTGTGATCTGAATCAAAATGCTCCTCCCACCCTCCTTGAATTCACATTTCCCATTTCCCCTGCATAGAGTTTAGAGAGCAGGATATGGCTTTTGCATCCTCCTGTGGTCCAATTCTTGTTTGGTGGAGGAAGGCTCCATTGCCCCGTCCCTCAAGAACAATCTGCTCCAGGGATGCTCTTTCTTCTTGTATCAAAGCATTTGGCATCCTTTCCAAAACTCATTTAGGCGATGGTGCTCCAGTGGGACATGTAGGGGTGATTCATGGAAATTTCCCTTCAATCATTTTGGTGTGGTAAAATTGTTTCAAAGTGACTCTGCTGCAGATTTGGAGTCAGCATGTCATTGCAGGGCTCCTGCAAGCCAGTTAGATGAGAACTTGTAATTGGAAGGCACATCAGAGCCTTTGCTCTGATGTGAAACCAGCCAGGGATTATTTTGAAAGTTTTGCTGTGAATTGTAACTTAGCTGCCTCACAGCTCTTAAGTGCTTAGCCAGTTCTCCATGAAGTTTACTGTGACATGGTGAGCACTTAAGGTTAGTTGTTTCTGGGATAGCCAACATGGCCGCCGGATATTGCTGGACTACAACCTCCCAACACGCACACCCAGTTTAGCCCAATGGTCCTGGACAATGGGAGTTGTAGTCCAACATCATCTGGGCAGCACAAGGTTGGCTACCCTGAGAAAGGGTTTGTATCTTTCCCTTCATCAAAAATCCTACAGTGATTTGCAAGATTTCAAAAATACAATATATATTTTATAACAAGACAGAAAATGTGAACTGGATTCTGGAAAAAGTACCGGTATATAGATAGGTAAAAGGTAAAGGTAAAGGACCCCTGACAGTTAAGTCCAGTCGCGAACAACTCTGGGGTTGCGGCGCTCATCTCGCTTTATTGGCCGAGGGAGCCAGCGTACAGCTTCCGGGTCATGTGGCCAGCATGACTAAGCCACTTCTGGCAAACCAGAGCAGCACACGGAAACGCTGTTTACCTTCCCGCCGGAGCGACCTATTTATCTACTTGCACTTTGTTTTTGTTTTTTTAAGAATATTTTTTATTAACCGACCAATCACATCAAATCAAACCAAATTACATAAATTCCAAATTACACAGCCGAATTTTAAATTTTTGTTGGGGGTACCCATATTTCAAGTTCCGAAGGGGATCCAATCAACTTCTTGCTTCTTACTGCTGTTTTAATGTCCACAAATCTAACCTTATAATGTTCACAGTACTATCCAGTCCTTTCTTATTGTTTTTCCACATCTCTTGTTGTTATTTTCATATATTTTTCCTTTCTCTTTGTGACCTCTGATAGTCTCCACAAGCTGGTTAGAACAGTTTGTAATCCTGCGTGGATATTATTTTTTTTATCCAGTAGCCATATCCAGACGTTTTCCATATAACATCACTTCCATACATCAAAACAGTCTTAGCATCATTAATCTTCACCAATTTGCCTCCTTTCTCAAAACCTCTGAGGAGATTCACCAGGAATGCAGTCTGAAAACAGGTCCGTACCTCTTCCCGGCTATAAATCCTTTGGCAAGATGGCAACTCCGAATTAATTGCTGCGCCATTCCAAAAGCTCTTATTGCTTCTTGATATCCATAAAGCATACTTTTGGTTAAAGTTTATCTCCACACAGACCTTAATCATCCTGCTTGGGTCAGTTCAACTGACGATTCTAATGAGGAGGGGTTCTTGTAAATCACATAGAAGGAAAGTAAAAAAGGTCCCCCCCCCTTCAGTCCCGTTGTCAACATACCCAGCCTTTGATGTATCTTCATCGTAAAATATTCCTGTTTCTCCAACCCGTCGTCTTCTTTCGCAGAGGTCACTTAAATTAGCAGACTTCACTCCCCTTCTTCACTTGAAATATGTGCATTTGCTTCTTTTGTAATTAATTATTCCAAACTGCTGCAGCTAGTGCGCGATCAGAGACAGCGTCCAGGAAAGCCGAGGTCCACACAGGGGCATTCTGCCTAGGGCCCTCACCCCCTTCTTTCGAATTAGGGGGTGATTTATGGGCACAGCAGGCAAGGGCAGTTTTCCCCATTTCCTTGGGGCAACAAGGGAGGCTGCCTACTCCCATAACAGCCTCTTAATTACCCCGTGTGAGTCGGAGAGATGGTATTGTCAGCCATCTTCCAATGCGCCCCTAGTGGCCCCCCTATCTACTTGCACTTTGATGTGCTTTTGAACTGCTAGGTTGGCAGGAGCAGGGACCGAGCAACGGGAGCTCACCCCGTCATGGGGATTCGAACCGCCAACCTTCTGATCAGCAAGCCCTAGGCTCTGTGGTTTAATCCACAGCGCCACCTGCATCCCTTATATAGATAAGTTGAGGGTTTTAAAAGAGGATTGGACAAATTCATGGAGAATAAGGCTATCAATGGCTTCTAGCCCTTGAACTCTAGTTTTTGAACTCTGAACAGCATCCTCTGTACTCAGCCCAGCTCCTGCTTTACCTACACATCCAGAGGAGGTAAAAGCTGTGGCTAAAAATAACTGAGACTTGGCCAGCTCCAGAGAATGCTTCTGAGGCTGCCTAAAGGTAAAGGGACCCCTGACCATTAGGTCCAGTCGTGACCGACTCTGGGGTTGCGATGCTCATCTCGCTTTACTTGCCAAGGGAGCTGGCATACAGCTTCCAGGTCATGTGGCCAGCATGACTAAGCCGCTTCTGGCAAACCAGAGCAGCGCACGGAAACGCCGTTTACCTTCCCGCCGGAGCGGTACCTATTTATCTGCTTGCACTTTGACATGCTTTCAAACTGCTAGGTTGGCAGGAGCAGGGACCGAGCAACGGGAGCTCACCCCGTCGCGGGGATTCGAACCACCGACCTTGTGATCGGCAAGCCCTAGGCTCTGTGGATTAACCCATAGCACCACCCGCGTCCCTTCTCTGAGGCTGCCTAGAGACAAGCAAAAGCCCAGGCATCTCTGCTGTCCTACTATGTATGGAGGACCCAAGAAAGTTAAAGGCTGGGTGAGAGGATCCTGTTTTCCTGCCTCAGCTCATCCGGATGACCCTGTCTCACTGGTGGGGGTGGGGGCTTTCCAGAGGACTCCCCTCCACTCCAAACGTCTTGGATGGAACCATTCTTCCCAGCAATAGAGCTCTTGATTCTTTTCCCTTTCATCACAGGAAAAGGGACCCTGCAAACACCAGAGGCAAGGTTTCTCTCTCCTCTGACCGCAGGGTTCCCAGTTCCCTTGAGGCACACAGTCCCTTGCAAATGACCCCAAGTTAATCAGCAAGGAATAGGAGGTGCACAGCTTGATGGCTGAGCACCTGTGCTGCATGCAAGGGGTCCCTGGTTCAATCTCCAGCACCTCTGGGGAGGGCTGGGAAAGTATCACTGCCTGAGACTGCTGCCATTCAGTGCTGACAGTACTAGCTAGATGGGCTGGGTACAAGGCAGCTTCCCTTGTGCTCCCTGCAAATTCATGCATTTTCCTGGAGACTGAGGTGGTTATCTTGAGAAAAGCCTCCTTAGGTGCCACCTTTGGTTGTGCCAATGAGCCCAGTTTGTGGATGCTGGTGCAGTTGACCTTTTCTCTCTTTTTAATTGAAAGCCTTCCTGTGATTGGGTGAAGATCATGCAATTGGTTTAATCGATGTAGCCCTCCAAATATTGTGTGTCTGATTTTTCCCATCTAGCTTTCCCTCTCTCTCTGCTCCTGGGGTAAGCTGCTTCAAACCTTATCCTGATGTTGTGCTGTTCTCTTTCTGCATTTCTAGCCCCGCAGGATCTGGTCGACACCCAGACGAGCACCCTCCCTTCCATGTGGCAGCTGGGCACCCGCAAGTCCTCCTGCTCATCCTGCTCTCAGAGCGGATCCACGGAGAGTGGCCCCTCCAATGGCTGCAACCATGAAAGGCAAGGCGACAGAGGCTGGCTTGGGGGTGAGATGGGGTTGCTCTCTGCCAGGGAGCCCAGGTGGCCTCACAGAGGCAAAGGGGCTGACTTGAGGGCTGGCGGGGTGAGGTCTGGAAGGACAGTTAAAGCACATGACTCTCCCCAGAGAATCCTGGGAGCTGTAGTTCAGGAACATAGGGAGTCAGACCCATCTAGGGCAGTACTGTCCACACCAACTGGCAGAGGCTCTCTGGGCTCTGTAGCCCTGACTAGAGAGGCAGTTGGGGATTGGCTCTTGGAGCTTCTTTGTGCAAGGCAGATGCTCTGCCTGTGAGCTACGACCCTTCTCTCTCAAGGGTTACTAGCCATGAGGGCTGTACTCTGTCTCCACGGCTGGAGGCCATCCTGCTTCGGTAGAGCAGTTTCTCAGCATCTGGGTGGCCACGGTGAGACCAGGCTGTTGGGCTAGAGGGGCCATTAGCCTCATGCAGCAGGATCTCTTTGTGTTCTTAATTCCGAGCACCCTTAACAAACTACAGCTCCCATGATTCTTTGGGGGGAGGCTCTCACTGTATGGTGTGGCTCAGCCCACAGCCAGGTGCAGTAGCACATACATTCTTCATTATTATTAGCATTTTGAGTTTTATTGTCTTATTATCTTGTGTTATTATTATGCTATTTTGTATAATGCCTTTTATAGACTGGGGGCTCTGGGCATGAGTTTATGGAACTAAGGGGGCAGGAGCCTGGAAAAGTTCAGGAACCGCTGTGTAGGATGCTTTTAAATTGCTTTTAATCTTGTGAGTCACTAAGGAGGAAAATGCTATGCTTTGAATGGCAGCTAGTGTGTTTTTGAAAAGTACATCTTGAAAAATGGGATTATTGCTTGTGGTGTATCCATCCTCTGGTTCCTTACAGGACTGCAGCTACTCCCCCCTTCCCTCTCTCTTCCCAGGGCTCCTCTGAAGCTGCTGTGTGATAACATGAAGTACCAGATACTATCTCGAGCGTTTTATGGCTGTGAGTTTTCACTTCATCCCATTTTTAGTCACCACTTGGGAGCCAGGGGAACAGCCTGCTTAACCCTTCCCCCACCATTTCTTTGAAATTTGCTCCCCACCCCCACCCCCCGTCTGCTGCATCTCCTGATGAAAAAGCATTTGAGGGCAGGAGATGGAATTACGATTTTGGGTGTAGAAATAACCATGGGGGAGAAAGGGTTAAGCAGCCTTTTCTGTCTTCTGCTGCTTTTCATTTTAAAAGGTGATGACAAAGAAGTACTTTTATATCCCCTGTAGCACTATGGCCTTGCAATTAAGTGTGATGTGGAGTTTGCCCCAGTATTGTGAACTGAAGGGCAGAACTACCTTGGTTCTACCACTGTGACACCAAAACTGCAAGAATATTTTGTTTATCCCAGACTTCCCCTGGCTCTTAAGCCAAAAAGACTTGCAGCTCAATAAAGATCAAGATGATCTTGGCCTTCAGGATTATGATCTATCAGACATGGCATTAAAGGAAAGAGATGGGAAGGGAGAAGGAAAAATCAAAGTCTGGCACCGGTTCTTAAAAGTGACAAAGTTCTTAATAAGGAACAGCTGGGATAGAATTGGTGCAGGTAGCCTGTGGAATGGCTGCCAGTTGGTGATGGTTGATGGAGGCAGCTGGCCTCTCATCCCCTTGCCAGGGGACTAGCTCTGCTTCCCTTCTCTCCCTCTGCCATCAGTCTATAGCAGATGTTTGGAACTACAACTCCATCACCCCAGTGAGCATGGTCATTTGGACTACAGCGCATTGAATCGTAGAATGGTCAAGGTGAAAGGGACCGCCGGGCTCATCTAGTCCAACCCCTTGCAATGCAGGAATGTTTTGCTCAACATGGGGCTTGAACTGCAGCCTTGACACAGTTGGGTTGACTGGGATTTGCAGTTTAGAGCGCCTGGAGGGCACCCAGCTTGGGCAGGGTGGTTGATACAACCAGTTCAGATTTTCTTTCCTCTAAGTGACAGCATGGGTCAGTGGACATGGAATCGCAGAACTGTAGAGTTGGAAGGGGACTGAAGGGGCTCCTTGGGTCCTGACATGGTCCTACAGTCCCTCCTCCAAGTCAGGCGGGTGGTGGGGGTCCTTCTTGTGCCAGTATTGCCCCTCCCTGGGGGAGGAATCGGCAGTGGTGCTTTAGCCGCCTCCCCTACCTGCCCTTCCCGCTGTTCTCTGGTCTCTCTGGGATTGCCCTCTGTGCAGCCTCTTTCTCTCTGCTTTCCATGGCTTAGGGCTGGCCTACTGCCGGCACCTCTCCACGGTGAGAACCCACCTCTCGGCACTGGTGAACCATGACATTGTGTCACCCAGCGTGCCCTGCAGCGCCAGCCAGGGGCTGACCGCTGAGGTCTGGGAGATGTTCCTGCAAGACAGTACGGTAAGGGGGACCCCCAATTCACCCTGGCCAGCCCTGGGGCACAGTCGGCTCTGGCCCTGCTTTTGAAGGCGGATGGTTGAGGGCTGGCGGGGGGGGGGGGAGGAAAAGTCATTTTCTCTTTACTTGGCCTCAGTTTTCAGTGAACTTTCCCCACAGAGCTATGAGGAGAAAGAGCTTTTGCGGCTAGTCTACTTCGGAGGGGTCCAGCATGAGATCCGGAAAGCAGTCTGGCCTTTCCTGCTGGGACATTACCGGTTTGGGATGTCAGAAGCTGAGAGAAAGCAGGTGAGATAAGTAAAATTACTCATCAGTATGCCATGAAGTCTGCAGTGCTTGCGTTACTGAATCTGTATTTAAATGCTAAACAAGACAAACGATTATTGGATAAACCACTAATTGGATTTCTCTTAGTGGCAGAGCACATGTGGTTACAGTCACATTCTGGAAGGGTTTAAAAGGTACAGAATTGAACGCATGGTACAAAAGAGGGTGAATCATTGCCTAAACGACCTCGGCCCAGTATACCTGAAGGAGCGTCTCCACCCCCATTGTTCCGCCCGGACACTGAGGTCCAGCTCCAAGGACCTTCTGGTGGTTCCCTAACTGCGAGAAGCCAAGTTACAGGGAACCAGGCAGAGGGCCTTCTCGGTGGTGGCGCCCTGCCCTGTGGAACGCCCCCCCATCAGCTGTCAAGGAAATTAACAACTATCTGATGTTTAGAAGACATCTGAAGGCTGTTTAGGGAAGTTTTTAAATGACTGATGTTTTAATGTATTTTTAATCTCCCTTCGGAAGCTGTCCAGAGTGGCTGGGGAAACCCAGCCAGATGGGCGGGATATAAATATATTATTATTATTATTATTATTATTATTATTATTATTATTATTATTATTGCCTTATGGAAAAATTGACCCACACATGAAGAGGAAGAGGAGCACAAAGACACCTTTGCTGACCTCTTCCTGACAAGAGGAAGGGAGCACAAAGACACCTTTGCAGGAGAATGGTGGAGCTTCATTCCATTCAAAAATTCTCCAGAAAACCAAAAGTTTATACTAACTAGTGGATCACTTAATAAGAATGTGTTTTATAGATATACGTACCTCTTTGCTGCTATTATGTGGGGCTGATTAAAACTTCCATTTGCTCTCTTTGCATAAGTCCTGCCTCAAAAATTGACTTTGCCCGGTGAAAGAGGGCTCCATTTTTCTGCCTCATACTCAGGGCACTTTAGAGCTGGGGTTGGCACGTTCCTTACCATTGCAAAGTGGCTGAGGGTGTGGTGGGTGCATTTTTCTTTCCGCAAAGCATTTCTCTGGTGCTCCTCAGCCTTGCTGCCTGCCCTCACTTCCTGATCTGAAAATGCAGTGCATGGTTAAACTATGGAACTTGTTTCCCCAGGAGGCAGAGAGGTCTACAGACCTTTAAAAGAGGACTCATGGAAGAGAGAGCTATGGGCGGCTCTCAGTGGCTCTGCTCTGCCTCCACAGTCAGAGGCAGCAAAGCTTCTGAATCCCAGTTGCCAGAAACCACGGGGGGGGGGGGGAGAGAAGGCTGCTCTTCTGCTTGAGCCCTGCTTGTGGGCTTCTCACTGGGGCATCTGAGTGGCCCCTGTGAGACTTGACTAGGTGGTCTCTTTTGCCTGATCCAGCAGTCTGTTGTGTTCCCTCCTGATCTCTTCCCCATGGGCTTTCATTGAAACTTGGGCATGCAGGAAGTCAGCAGAGCCCAGACCACTGGGTGGATGATTTTAGATTGAGAGAAAGGACTTCCAGAACTACTCCTTGGCCACCTTAAAAATAAGGCAGGCAGGACAAAATACTGCACCCCACTCATGAGAAGCTCACTGAAAATTTCTTGATAATATTCAAATTAATTGATGGCAAATGATTTTGCGGGATGGGGGGATTGAGGAAGAGCCGTGGATCAGTGGATCAGGTTCAAACTCTGTAGAAAGTGGTCAGGCCTGGCATTGTTCTGTGCTGTGCAGTCTAAGGTATCACACTGCTTAAGGCAGCGCTGCGAGTGGTTTAAGGTTCTGGATTTAGGCTCCAATCTCTCCGAGGCATGGGTTCAAATTCCCCTGCTGCCAAGTGTTCTTTTCCCTTGCTATCCTTTTCAAACTATCTGCACCACTTATCCTCTCTTGTGTGAGAGGCAGTGTGCTTTAGTGGTTAGAGTGTCAGACCTTGGGAGACCAGGATTCAAATCCCCACTCGGCCATGAAGCTCACAGAGTGCCTGCCTTCTTGCAACCTAACCTCCCTCACAGGGTAGCTGCGGGGATTAAATGAAGAGGGAGGGGAACCATGTTTGTTGTTTTTTTTAGTACATCTATATACCATCTTTTTCTTCCAAGAAGCTCAAGGTACATGGTTCTCCCCCTCCTCATTTAATCCCCACAACAACCCGATGAGGTAAGTTAGGCTGAGAGGCAGTGACTGGCCCAAGGTCACCCAGGGAGCTTCATGGCTGAGCGGGGATTCGAATCCTGGTCTCCCAGGTTCTAGTCTGACACTCTGACCATTATGCCACTTTTGAGCTACTTGGAGGAAAAGGTGAGACATAAATCCAGCAAACGAATAAATGAAACTGGGTTCAGTTCTGCTCCAGGGTGCTGTGGGGGATGCACAGGCCTCTCCCAGCTTCTCTCTTGGCTTCAGGTCGACAGCCAGACTCGCGCCTGCTATGAGCAAACCATGGCAGAGTGGCTGGGCTGCGAGGCGATTGTCCGACAACGGGAGAAGGAGTCTCATGCGGCCGCCCTGGCCAAGTGCTCCTCAGGGGCCAGCCTGGACTCCCACATGGAACACATGATGCACCAAGATTCGACCATCAGCAACGATGTGAGTGGGGGGGGGGAATCAAGGTCCATTGGAATTGAGTCAGTTCCCAGATGGCTTCAGAATGCGTAAAAATAATTTAAATCTCTCAATTTCTCCCCTCCACTGCACCCTTTCCTGCAGCACTCCCTGGAGCATGTTCGCCATATCCACCCCCTACATTAAAGGCACTAGGATACCACTTGGAACAGCTATGGCCCCCCTCCATAGAATCCTGGGAGCTGTAGTTTGTTCAGGGTTATGAGAGGAGAGTCTCCCTATTCCCCCCCCCAACTGATTGTTAAAGCACCTTGTGAGTGGAAGGGGGCGAGCAATTTAAAAAGAGGGGGCACTGTTGGTTCTTGCCCCCCCCAAGCTGGCCTCCTCCCCTGATTCCTGGCATCAGCGCATTCTGCCCCCACTGCAGACACTTTGACTTGTCCCCCTGGCCTGGTTCTCCCATGCGCCTCCTCTCTTCCCACAGTCTTCCCAGAGCGGCAGTTCCGGCCCACAGAACCTGACACGGCTTCAGAGCGACTCCAGTGGCAGTACCCAGGTGAGGTGTCCAGCCTGTTGGATCCTCGGGGGGGGGGGACTCCAAATTCTGAGCTGCTGTGCAAGCCTGAGAGACAGCACTGTGTAATGGTTAGAGTGTTGGCTAAGGACCTGGGGAACCAAAGTTCAAATCTCCACTCAGCCATGCAGCTCACTGGGTGGCCTTGGCTGCCAGTCACTGCCTTCTCACAGCCTAGCCTACCTCACAGGGTTGTTGTGGGGATTAAAGGAGGATGGGGGAGAAGCACATACACCAAATTGAGCTCCTTGGAGGAAAGGACAGGATAAAAATGTGATTGTATGTTTTTAATAGATTGTCTAGATAGATGGATCGTTTTAATTCTATTAATGCTACCTTGTTTTTTTAATCACTGTTCCCCCCTTCATGTTTTTAGTTGTTCTTATTTTACCTGTAAGCTACCTGGAGTGCAGTTCAATCCTCAGTGGTCTCCCCAGCCGAAGGGTCTCACGAGCAGGCTGGGAAAGACCCCCAAGGCAGAGATTCAGGAGAGGCCCTGGAGAAGCTGGGTGGGCCAGTGATCAGATCTGGCAGGTAGATAAAGTTTGCTGTAGATCAGCAGCCCCCAAACCTTTGGGGGCCACTGCCCCCTGGGCTCCATCATTCCATCTCTAGAGAGAGCATTGTTCAGAACTGCTTTTGGCCTGGCCCACTACAGTAAGAAAGATAACAACACAACAACTAACTGCACCTTTATTCAGAATCCAATTTAAACTATTTAGTTTAATTAATCCAAGAAAACTGATTAACTTGATCCAGTAATACCAGCTTTTCAAAGTCTGATAGTCATACCTCCAGTGCCCCTGCTTCTCCCTAGGTAATCCCACCCCTCGGGGTGCTACCACCCGCTTGGGAACACAGCTTCAGATCTTTGCAGAATGCAGTCTCTTACTAAACATTTAACTATTTACTACTGTTACATAAGGGACGCGGGTGGCGCTGTGGGTAAAAGCCTCAGCGCCTAGGGCTTGCCGATCGAAAGGTCGGCGGTTCGAATCCCCGCGGCGGGGTGCGCTCCCGTTGCTCGGTCCCAGCGCCTGCCAACCTAGCAGTTCGAAAGCACCCCCAGGTGCAAGTAGATAAATAGGGACCGCTTACTGGCGGGAAGGTAAACAGCGTTTCCGTGTGCTGCGCTGGCTCGCCAGATGCAAGCTGGTCACGCTAGCCACATGACCCGGAAGTGTCTCCGGACAGCGCTGGCCCCCGGCCTCTTGAGTGAGATGGGCGCACAACCCCAGAGTCTGTCAAGACTGGCCCGTACGGGCAGGGGTACCTTTACCTTTACCTTTACTGTTACATAAGCATTTTTTATTTTATTTTTTTGCTATAATAAATTAATCTCTGTTTTATGACTCACTGTAAAATATCTACCTACCGTATTTTTCGCACGATTGGACGCACCGGACCATACGACGCACCTAGTTTTTTTGGGGAGAAATAAAGGAAAAAAATTTTCCCTTTATTTCCCCCCCAAAAGCAGGTCAGGGAAACCGAACCAGGTCGCGGAACAGCGGGATAGTGGCGCTGCGCCTCCCTGCTGTCCCCCGAGCTTGGGGGGCTGGCTGATGTCTGCCTAGCGCGCGGGGCACTCTGCTTCAGGGCGCCCCACCCGCCGGGCGGCAGGCTGCTATCCGCAGCGTGGGGAGACTTGCGGGGAACTCCTGCAAGGCTCTCCACGCTGCGGATGTATGCCTGGCGCGAGGAGCGCTCTGCTTCAGGACGCCCCACCTGCCGGGCGGCAGGCTGCTATCCGCAGCTTGGGGAGCCTTGCGGGGAACTGCTGCAGGGCTCCCCACGCTGCGGATGTATGCCTGGCGCGAGGAGCGCTCTGCTTCAGGATGCCCCACCTGCCGGGCGGCAGGCTGCTATCCGCAGCTTGGGGAGCCTTGCGGGGAACTGCTGCAGGGCTCCCCATGCTGCGGATGTATGCCTGGCGCGAGGGGCGCTCTGCTTCAGGGCGCCCCTCGCGCCGGGCGGCAGGCTGCTATCCGCAGCGTGGGGAGACTTGCGGGGAACTCCTGCAAGGCTCTCCACGCTGCGGATGTGTTCCCGAAGCGCCGGGCGCTCTGCTTTCAGGGCGCCCGACGCTCCGGGAAACAGGCTGCTATCCGCAGCGTGGGGAGCCTTGCGGGGAACTCCTGCAAGGCTCTCCACGCTGCGGATGTGTTCCCGAAGCGCCGGGCGCTCTGCTTTCAGGGCGCCCGACGCTCCGGGAAACAGGCTGCTATCCGCAGCGTGGGGAGCCTTGCGGGGAACTGCTGCAGGGCTCCCCACGCTGCGGATGTATGCCTGGCGCGAGGGGCGCTCTGCTTCAGGGCGCCCCACCCGCCGGGAAGCAGGATGCTATCCGCAGCGTGGGGAGCCTTGCGGAGAACTCCTGCAAGGCTCTCCACGCTGCGGATGTGTTCCCGAAGTGCCGGGCGCTCTGCTTTCAGGGCGCCCGACGCTCCGGGAAGCAGGCTGCTATCCGCAGCGTGGGGAGCCTTGCAGGGAACTCCTGCAAGGCTCTCCACGCTGCGGATGTGTTCCCGAAACGCCGGGCACTCTGCTTTCAGGGCGCCCGATGCTCCGGGAAGCAGGCTGCTATCCGCAGCGTGGGGAGCCCTGTGGGGAACTGCTGCAAGGCTCTCCACGCTGCGGATGTGTTCCCGAAACGCCGGGCACTCTGCTTTCAGGGCGCCCGACGCTCCGGGAAGCAGGCTGCTATCCGCAGCGTGGGGAGCCTTGCAGGGAACTCCTGCAAGGCTCTCCACGCTGCGGATGTGTTCCCGAAACGCCGGGCACTCTGCTTTCAGGGCGCCCGGCGCTCCGGGAAGCAGGCTGCTATCCGCAGCGTGGGGAGCCCTGTGGGGAACTGCTGCAGGGCTCCGCACGCTGCGGATGTCTGCCCGGCGCGAGGGGCGGTCTGCTTCAGGGCGCTCCTGGCGCCGGGCGGCAGGCTGCTATCCGCAGCGTGGGGAGCCTTGCGGGGAACTCCTGCAAGGGTCCCCACACTGCGGATGTGTTCCCGAAGCGCCGGGCACTCTGCTTTCAGGGTGCCCGACGCTCCGGGAAGCAGGCTGCTATCCGCAGCCTAGACACGGCTAGCGGAGCGCTAATCCCGAAGCTTGGGGCGTGCGGAGCTCAGCACGCCCCAAGCTTCTGGGTGCCGGCAAGGTCTCCGCTAGGCGGCTAGCGGAGACCTTGCCAGCACCCAGAAGCTTGGGGCGCGCTGAGCTCCGCACGCCCCAAGCTTCAGGATTAATGCAGCGCTCCGCTAGCCGTGGGAGAACTGGGTCTCCCACGGCTAGCGGATAGCTTCCTGAAGCCTGGAGAGCGAGAGGGGTCGGTGCGCACCGACCCCTCTCACTCTCCAGGCTTCAGCGAAAGCCTGCATTCGCTCCATAGGACGCACACACATTTTCCCTTGCTTTTTAGGAGGGAAAAAGTGCGTCCTATGGTGCGAAAAATACAGTATCTTTATAAACTCATTTTGGTATTTGTGTGGTGCCTTTCAGGGCTAGGCAGCCCACTCAATTCACACACAAATTTCACAGTAACGATCACAATTTACATAACAAAAAATCAGCAGTGAAATGATAAAATATAAAATGATAAAACCCAACAGCATTCTGGAGGACTCAAACAAACTTGCCAGAACCTCTTGACATTTTCATGGGTTCTATCCAATGGTGGGTTTGGGATGCTTTTTTCTAATGGGTCAATCTCTGCTTTCTTTTGCCCCTATGAACCAAGAACAGAATCCTGTTCCCACAATCTCTTTCACAAGTGTAGTGGTTTGGAGTTACTCGTGCGTAAACCGACCCCTTTTGGGTGCTTGGTTGCCTGGCTAAATCCTCCGGACTGCACAGCCCATCTCCGCTTGACTGCTTCAGTCACTGGCAGAATCTGTCTGTGGGCGCTTCTTGAACCTCTGCCAACATAAAAGCTGTTTGACACCCAATCGTCTCCGCCTCTCATTGCGCGGGAGTCTCCTGCGCAGGGTGGGCGTGGGTAGCGGGGTGCCTGGGCTCTCTTCACTGACTTCCAGGGAAGAATCTCGGAGCCCTTCCACCTCCTCCTCCCCTTGCTCTCCTGGACTCTTGGTGTAACGTGTATTTCCTTCCCCTTCCACTGAGCTGAGTCTCCCCCTTGTGCTGGGACCTTCACCTGCAGAGTCTGAGACCCTCTCCTTCTCCCGTGTCTCTGATGTCAGTTCCCTGACAACAAGACATGGGGAACATGCTATGTCTCCTTCCAGCTCTTGCTGGGCTGCAATTCCCTTCCTCACTGACCATTTTACATGCTGCCTGGAGCTGCCTGGAGTTGAGAGTCCAACAACATCTAGAGTGTGCCTCTCTCTGCTTTGGGAGGGGTAGGGGGATTGCACCTGCTGTTTCTCGTCAATGACATTTGTTGAGAAATTCCAAGCAGTTATTTTTGCTACCAGATATTATACAATGCCTGGTGGCCACCTGCTGGCTCTCTAATGATCACTCTTTTGTGCTATTCCCCCCTTCCCTAGGCAACAGTTATATTAGGATGACGTGTTTGGGGGCACTAGGAGGGTAGGTCAGCCAGGCTTGGCTGCAGCTAACTAGTCTGACACAGGCACTGTCAAGTATGAAGATCTGTTTTCTTTTGAAGAGGAAGCCAACGCACAGACCCTCCAGTCAATCCAAAGCTGTGAGGATCAGCAGAAACAATGTTCCTGCAGAAACATGCCTTTGACCCAAACATGGCAGGAGGGTCTCCTCTCTGGGAGAGAGGGAGAAAGATCATAGAATCATAGAATCATAGAGTTGGAAGAGACCACAAGGGCCATCGAGTCCAACCCCCTGCCAAGCAGGAAACACCATCAGAGCACTCCTGACATATGGTTGTCAAGCCTCTGCTTAAAGACCTCCAAAGAAGGAGACTCCACCACACTCCTTGGCAGCAAATTCCACTGTCGAACAGCTCTTACTGTCAGGAAGTTCTTCCTAATGTTTAGGTGGAATCTTCTTTCTTGTAGTTTGGATCCATTGCTCCGTGTCCGCTTCTCTGGAGCAGCAGAAAACAACCTTTCTCCCTCCTCTATATGACATCCTTTTATATATTTGAACATGGCTATCATATCACCCCTTAACCTCCTCTTCTCCAGGCTAAACATGCCCAGATCCCTTAGCCGTTCCTCATAAGGCATCGTTTCCAGGCCTTTGACCATTTTGGTTGCCCTCCTCTGGACACGTTCCAGTTTGTCAGTGTCCTTCTTGAACTGTGGTGCCCAGAACTGGACACAGTACTCCAGGTGAGGTCTGACCAGAGCAGAATACAGTGGCACTATTACTTCCCTTGATCTAGATGCTATACTCCTATTGATGCAGCCCAGAATTGCATTGGCTTTTTTAGCTGCCGCGTCATACTGTTGGCTCATGTCAAGTTTGTGGTCAACCAAGACTCCTAGATCCTTTTCACATGTACTGCTCTCAAGCCAGGTGTCACCCATCTTGTATTTGTGCCTCTCATTATTATTTTTTGCCCAAGTGCAATACTTTACATTTCTCCCTGTTAAAGTTCATCTTGTTTGTTTTGGCCCAGTTCTCTAATCTGTCAAGGTCGTTTTGAAGTGTGATCCTGTCCTCTGGGGTGTTAGCCACCCCTCCCAGTTTGGTGTCATCTGCAAATTTGATCAGGATGCCCTTGAGTCCATCCTCCAAGTCGTTGATAAAGATGTTGAATAAGACCGGGCCCAAGACAGAAACCTGTGGCACCCCACTAGTCACTCTTCTCCAGGATGAAGAGGAACCATTGATGAGCACCCTTTGGGTTCGGTCAGTCAGCCAGTTACAAATCCACTGAGTGGTAGCATAGTCAAGACCGCATTTTACCAGCTTCTTTACAAGGATATCATGGGGCACCTTGTCGAATGCCTTGCTGAAATCAAGGTAGGCTACATCCACTGCGTTCCCTTCATCTACCAGGCTTGTAATTCTGTCAAAAAACGAGATCAGGTTAGTCTGACATGACTTATTTTCAGAAATCCATGCTGACTATTGGTGATCACAGCATTCCTTTCTAGGTGCTCACAGACTGTTTGCTTAATGATCTGCTCCAGAATCTTCCCTGGTATTGATGTCAGACTGACTGGGCGATAATTATTTGGGTCCTCTCTTTTCCCCTTTTTGAAAATAGGGACAACATTTGCCCTCCTCCAGTCTGCTGGGACTTCTGCCTGTTCTCCAGGAATTCTCAAAGATGACTGCCAGTGGTTCTGAGATCACATCTGCCAGTTCTTTTAATACTCTTGGATGCAGTTCATCTGGCCCTGGAGACTTGAATACATCTAAACTAGCCAAGTATTCTTGTACTATCTCCTTAGTTATTCTGGGCTGTGTTTCCTCTGCTGAATCATTTGCTCCAAATTCTTCGGGTCAGGCATTGTTTTCTTTATCGAAGAAGACTGAGGCAAAGAAGGCATTGAGGAGTTCAGCCCTTTCTGTGTCCCCTGTTTGCATTTCACCATCTTCTCCTCTGAGTGACCCCACTGTTTCTTTGTTCTTCCTTTTGCTACGGACATACCCATAAAAGCCTTTTTTTTGTTGCTTTTAACCTCTCTAGCAAGCCTGAGTTCATTTTGTGCTTTAGCTTTTCTGACTTTGTGTCTACATGTGCTGGCTATTTGTTTGAATTCCTCTTTGGTGGTTTCCCCCCTTTTCCATTTTTTGTACACATCCTTTTTTAATCTTAACTCAGTTAAAAGTTCTTTAGATAGCCACCCTGGCTTCTTTAGGCACCTTCCATGTTTCCGTCTCATTGGTATTGCCTGAAGTTGTGCTTTTACTATCTCCCTCTTAACAAACTCCCAGCCATCATGAACTCCCTTTCCTTTTAGTATTACTGTCCATGGGATCTCACCCAGCACTTCCCTAAGTTTTATGAAGTCGGCTTTCTTAAAGTCAAGAAATTGAGTCCTAGTATGCTTGGCTGCTCCTTTCCGCTGTATAGTAAACTTCAGAAGAGCATGATCACTCACGCCTAATGATCCTTCCACTTCTACCCCACTAACCAGGTCATCAACATTGGTTAGGACCAGATCTAAAATGGCTGTTCCTCTTGTTGCTTCTCCCACTTTCTGGACAATGAAGTTGTCTGCAAGGGCAGTGAGGAATCTGTTTGACCTTATGCTCTTGGCTGAGTTTGACATCCAACAAATATCCGGGTAATTGAAGTCACCCATTACTACTATCTCCTTTCCTTTTGCATGCTTGGCCATCTGTTCCAGGAAGGCATCATCTATGTCCTCTGTTTGGCTTGGGGATCTATAGTAAACTCCCACAATGAGGTCTCTGTTATTCTTCTCTCCCTTAATTTTGACCCAAATGCTCTCACTTTGGCTTTGAGGTTCTAAATCTTGGATCTCTTCACAGGTATACACATCCATGACATACAACTCCACTCCTCCTCCTTTCTTGTCTGGTCTGTTTCTCTGAAATAGATTGTATCCCTCCATTATTACATTCCAATCGTGGGACTTATCCCACCAGGTTTCAGTGATGCCTATTATGTCATATTTAGTTTGCTGTACCAAGAGCTCAAGCTCATCTTGTTTATTTCCCATGCTTTGCGCATTAGTGTACAGACATTGAAGTCCATTAATCATTCCCCTGTGTCTCTTATTTAATGATTTTTTCCTCCCACCACTAGGTCTGCGTGCTGTTTGCTCCATTTGGTCTATGACATTTGGATGATCATCTTCATCAATTGATAGACTCCTACCTTCAGGAGCACTGTCTCCCTCCCCCACATTAGTCAGTTTAAAGCCCTCCTGATGAGGTTTCTGAGATTTTTGGCAAAAACATTCCTCCCAACCGCTGTGAGGTGCAGCCCATCGCTTGCCAGAAGTCCATCTTCAAGAAACTGCAGTCCGTGATCTAAGAATCCAAACCGTTCCTGTTTACACCATTTGCGAAGCCAGCTGTTCACTTCCACTATTTTTCCCTCTCTCCCTGGGCCACGTCGTTCAACTGGGAGGACAGATGAGATGACAATTTGTGCATTTAATTGCTTCAGTTTCCTGCCCAGAGCCTCGTAGTCTCTTTTGATCTTCTGGAGGCTATTGCTTGCAGTGTCATTGGTTCCCACATGAACCAAGAGGAAGGGGTATTTGTCAGTGGGTTTTATGATTCCTTGCAGTCGTTCAGTTACATCTTGGATCTTAGCCCCGGGGAGACAGCACACCTCCCGAGACATCTCGTCAGGCCCACAGATCACTGCTTCTGTTCCCCTCAGTAGGGAATCCCCTATCACCACTACACGCCTCCTCTTAGGTTTGGTCGGGGTTCTTCCGTGAGCTGTCCGTTCCAAGGTCGCCTGCACATTCCTGAGGACTGATTTTGCTGCTCGTCTTCATATACCTGATCGACTGTAATGAGGGAGAGATCCTCAAATGGAGTCTGTTCTTCGTCTTCCATGCTAGGGGAGAGGACTTCAAAGTGATTGTGTATTTCTAAACAATCAGAGCGAACCCTGGGCCTCCTACTTCTTTGAGTCACGTTTCTCCATATATCTGGCACCTGTGTTGGTGAACTAGCCTCCTTCTCAGGGGTGTCCCCTGTCTCCTCCTTGGTGGAGACGGTGTTCTCTGTTGCTTCCAAGAAGAGCTCCAGCTCTCTAATTCTTTGGAGCGTAGCTACACGTTCCTCTAGTTGCTGGACTTTGTCTTCTAAGAGGGCAATCAACATACAATTGCTGCAGGTAAAGCTGCCTGCAACCTTTGGCAAGATGGCAAACATTGCGCAGGAACCGCAGGCGACTGCAGCTGTTCCCTCACCCTCCATCTTGAGAACGTGTCGTTGGGGGTGGCTACAGTGGTCCTCCATCTTTAAAAGCGTGAAGACAGGACAAATAACCCCCCCCAAAAATCCTAGGTCTCCCCCAACAAACGTTTGAGACTAGCTCCCCTAAACCTAAAAGATGGATCAAACTGCGCGCGCCACCAGGCGCGCCGCTGCCCTGCAAGCTCTGATAAGCTCCTCCCACAGCTAATCACCTGACTCAACAGAAACCCTGTCCCCTCTGACCTTTGCACAGGGAGAGCAGCTAATCAGCCACTGAGAAACACACACACAAGAAAACTCTGATTTTAAATGTGTTGTAAAGTGCATTTAAAATTTTAAATGTGTTGTAAAGTGCAATATACAAATGTGACTCTAGATGGCGACAGTGAGCTATGCAAAGTTCAATGTATTTTTCAAAACTCTTAACAAAGCTTTTTCACAGCAATTTTTATACGTGTGTAGATTCCACCAATATCTTGAAAGGCAGCTCCATGCAGAGGCCATTGAAGTAGTCAGACAATCTGATCCATTCCTGTTCTCTTTTGGCCTCTCCTTCTTTGCCCAGGTGTTTGAGTCGGTCGATGAGGTAGAACAGCCCGAGGCAGATGCCAAACCTGAAGACGGCAAACGGCCCAAACTCTCCAACGGGATGATCCCTGACGGTGCCTCCTCCCCCGACCCTTGCTATCCCTCTTCCCAGAACTTTTTGGTCACCTCCCCATGCTCAGAGCAGATCTTCAGCACCAAGGACAGTATGGTGGAGACCGCAAAAGCCGCGGTGTGCCACTCTGCCCAGGCGAGCATGGCTGTCGGCCAGGGACCTCTCAGTGTGGACAATGCCCTTGTGGGTGGCACACAAACAGGGGAAGGTTTGCAGGGCCAGGACAGCCTGGAGGAACTCCCCACCACCAGCAGCTTAGAGGAGTTTATCCTCATGGGCAAGGAGCACCCTGATAAAGAGGGGGCATCTCTGTCTATAGTGGATGTGACAGGCAGCTGGCCAGACCACAGTGTGGGGCAGCAGAACTCCATGGGGAGTGAAGATGACCTCTCAGAAGAGCCAGAGATGGAGAGCCTGTACCCGCAGCTGGATTCACACTCCCTGGCTGTCACTGACTTGACCATTAGCGAAGTCTCGCCTGTCTCCTCGTCGGGGGTCACCTACTCTGTGAGTGTGTGTCAGGGTCCTTGGTTCCTCCTGATCTTTGGGAACGGTATTTTGTTTTGCTTTAAAACCCAAAAGGAGCAAACATTTTAGGCAGGGTGAAATTTTTGCTTTGATTGCACTAGAGCATTTTATCTATTCACTTGCTAACTGTTACTAACTACTACAGTGATACCTCTGGTTATGTACATAATTTGTTCCGGAGGTCCGTTCTTAACCTGAAACTAACCTGAAGCACCACTTTAGCTAATGGGGCCTCCCACTGCCACCACACCGCCGGAGCACGATTTCTGTTCTCATCCTGAAGCAAAGTTCTTAACCCGAGGTAATATTTCTGGGTTAGCGGAGTCTGTAACCTGAAGCGTATGTAACCCAAGGTACCACTGTACAGCTAATTTACTTGCTAGCTACTACTAATGTACTACAGCCTTGCCTTTCTGGAAGTGTTCTCAATACACTTTAGTTTTTTAATGATGGCCCACAGTTCTTGTTGGTGTTAAAATTTCTATACTGCCCTTCTTCTGAGGATCACAGGATGGTTTACAATATTAAAAAAACCCAGTTTGTTTTGGGTTCCACACACCAAGCAGGCCACACGCTGGATTTGATTTTTGCTGTGGGTATAGATGTGATCATGTCCTCACTTGTGGAAGTGCCATGGTCTGAAAGCCAGGATTGACTCCCTCCTCCCTCCCGGGTGGCGAGCCTATTTGGGCTCACCCGTGAAGGCTGATGGATCCTGATGGATTTCGTCAAGCCTTGCGGGACCCTGCTTCCCCTGGCGGCTCACTAGATGAGCTTGTCGAGAACTGGAATAACTGGCTCTTGGCGGCCACCAATGAGATCACACCTAAGCGCCCTCTGCGACCCTGCCGAAACCGGGCCCCCTGGTTTACCGAGGAGCTCTGGGAAATGAAGCGGGATCTCAGACGGCTAGAGCGAGTATGGCGGCGTGCTCGCACCGGAGCCTCAAGAACATCTTATAGGACGTTTATGAAAGCCTATGAGATGGCAGTGAAAATGTAAAGAAGTTTTACTTCTCAGCTTCCATTGCTTCCGCTAGCTCTCGCCCAGCGCAACTTTTTAGAATAATTAGGTCTTTAACAACCCTAGAGGAACAGCCAAATTTAAATACGAATTTGACCCATAGCTGTGAGGCATTTGCGAGCTTTTTTGCGGAGAAAGTCTTGCTGCTCTGCCGTGACCTCCCTGCCAGTTTGGATACAGTAACAGAACTGGAGGCCCCTCGACTCTCCTTGGGTCCGGTATTGGACCACTTCAATCGGATACTCCCTGCCAATGTAGACAGATTCCTCCAAGCTGGAAGGCCCACCACTTGCCCCCTTGACCCGTGCCCGTCTTGGCTGATTAGAGCATGTGCAGACGAGGTGTGGGCCCCCCTGGGTGAGATCATCAATCAGTCCCTTGGCATGGGGACTTTACCAGGGGAGTTGAAGGAAGCAGTGTTGCATCTGCTCTTAAAGAAAACATCCTTAGATCTTTAGATCTATCCAATTACCACCTGGTTTCGAATCTTCCGTACCTGGGTAAGGTAACTGAGAGAGCGATTGCCAAACAGCTTGGTAGGTTTCTGGATGAAACATCGGCTTTGGATCCATTCCAGTCCGGCTTTCGCCCTGGTTACGGGACCGAGACGCCTTTGGTCGCCCTAACAGATGATCTCCGTAGACAGCTGGATCAAGGCGGGTCGGGACTGCTGATTCTTTTAGATCTGTCAGCAGCCTTCGACATGGTCGATCACAAATTTTTGTACCACTGCCTTGCCGACGTGGAGATTCAGGGCACAGTCTGACAATGGCTGCGCTCCTTTATCGCAGGTCGGGGACAGAGGATAGCACTAACGAGGGAGCTACAGTGGCACTCCTTGGTGTGTGGCGTGCCACAGGGTGCAATCCTTTCCCCGATACTTTTCAATATCTTTATGTGCCCCCTTGCCCAGATTGTCTGGTGTTTTGGGCTGGGTTGTCATCAATATGCTGATGACACCCAGCTTTATCTGTTGATGGACGGCCGCCCTGACTCGGCCCCAGACACACTGACCAGATGCTTGGAAGCTGTGGCTGGATGGCTGCGTGGGAGCCGGTTGAAGTTCATAGAATCATAGAATCATAGAGTTGGAATAGACCACAAGGGCCATCGAGTCCAACCCCCTGCCAAGCAGGAAACACCATCAGAGCACTCCTGACATATGGTTGTCAAGCCTCTGCTTAAAGACCTCCAAAGAAGGAGACTCCACCACACTCCTTGGCAGCAAATTCCACTGTCGAACAGCTCTTACTGTCAGGAAGTTCTTCCTAATGTTTAGGAAGTTTAGTTAAAGTTTAGTTAAATCCTTCCAAGACAGAGGTCCTCTGTCTGGGTCAGGATGACATGGGGTTGGGGCGCCAACTCCCATCTTTTGCGGGGGCTCAATTAGTGCCAGCGCCTTCTGTCAAGAGCTTGGGTGTAACGTTTGATGTCTCCCTTTCCATGGAGGCGCAGGTTGCAGCCACAGCAAAGGTGGCATTTTTCCATCTTCACCGTATTAAGCAGTTGGTCCCTTACCTTTCTTGCCCTGATCTGGCCACAGTGATCCATGCGATGGTCACCTCCAGGGTTGATTATTGTAACTCGCTCTATGCGGGGCTGCCCTTGAAGCTGACCCAGAAACTCCAGCGGGTGCAGAATGCCGCAGCGAGGCTCCTTACAGGGTCCTTGCCGTGGGATCACATTCATTCAGTGCTTTACCAACTGCACTGGCTCCCGGTGGAGTATAGGGTCAGGTTTAAAGTGCTGGTTTTGACCTTTAAAGCCCTATGTGGCCTAGGACCCACATACCTACGGGACCGCCTCTCCTGGTATGCCCCGTGGAGGACCTTAAGGTCCACAAATGACAACACTTTGGAGGTTGCAAGGTGGTTAGATTGGTCTCAACTAGGGCCAGGGCCTTTTCAGTACTGGCCCCGACTTGGTGGAACGCTCTGTCACAAGAGACTAGGGCCCTGCAGGACTTGACATCTTTCTGCAGGGCCTGCAAGACAGAGCTGTTCTGCCTGGCCTTTGGTTTGGACTTAGTCTGACCCTTATGTTTCCCTCCCCTTATGGTTTTGATCTATGGGCTACTATTAAAATGAGGCTGCATTTTAAATTGTATTTTAACCTGTATTTTAAATTGGTTGGTTTTTTCCTTCCCCGACGTTTTTATTGTGATTTTACTGGTGTTAGCTGCCCTGAACCCATCTCTGGCTGGGGAGGGCGGGGTATAAATAAAAAATTATTATTATTAAAAAATATCATAGTAACAAAGTCAATACCCCCCAGTTTTAAGGCCAGAGATTATGGGATAAATTGAGAGGAAGAAATCATATTTTAGTCCCATTGACATCAATGGGGTGTTAAAATTGATTTACCAATGCCAGGATATCTGTGTTATCAACAGCTCAGTTTTGAGTTTGTGTGAATAGTTTTGTAAATAACAAAACTATCACCACATGTACTTTTCTACATTTCATTCCTTTATTGCCCCATTTGAGGCAGGACTGGCCCACCTGTGAGGCAAGGTGAGGCAACTGCCTCGGGCAGCAGGATCCGCCTGTCATTTTGCTGTGATCCCTGCACTGCAGGGCGTTGCACCAGATGGCCCTCTGGGTCCCTTCTAACTCTGCAATTCTATGACTTTTAAAACCAGCTGTTAAGTTTGTGGCGTGGACAGGCCCTTGCATGTACCTTAGCAGAAGTTGTTCTGAAAGTTAACTGGGATGTGTTTCCTTGCCCTTTCTGCTTCCGCAGCCAGAGCTGCTTGACATGTACACTGTGAACCTGCACCGCATTGAGAAGGATGTCCAGAGGTGCGACCGGAACTACTGGTATTTCTCACCAGCCAACCTGGAGAAGCTGCGCAACATCATGTGCAGGTAGCTGCCCAGTGGGATGGGGGTGGGAACTGGCTGTGTCGTTCCTTCAAGCGATTCTGTCACTCTTTGGGCCAGGAACTGTGGGACCAGAGGATGCTTGGCGCAAGGAGCAGCCCATGTACTGACCACAGAGGGCCCTTTGCAGGCTGAGCAAAGGCTGGAACCCTGGCCCTTCCCGTAAAAATAAAGTGAGATTCCAGACCTCATAATTCAGAAGAAAGGATCTCCCTTATACCACGTCAGGCCATTGGCACACCCAGCTCAGTACTGGTTATAGGAAGCTGGTTATCCCACAGACCCAATGAAGCCTCAGCTTATTAAACAGAGGATTTGTCACTGATTGATTTATTAAGCTAGCATTTTTAGAGGGGAACCAACCACCCCCAAAGGCTATTTGGGGCTTTGAGATGATGCATTTCTGCATTGCAGCAGCCCCGCCCCCCCCCAATCTTATAAGATGCATTCTGCATTCCCTGTCTTGCTGGTGCCTCTTCTAAGACAGCACATGCCATCTTAAAAAAAGAAAGAAAGAATCTGGGTGGTTTAATCAATGACACCATTTTCGTTGATCAAATTGCTTTTGTTTGTTTAAAATTGTCTATTGATTAATAGGTTTAATCAGCTGTGGGTTCATTACCTATGGGTTAATTAGCAGTGATCCCTGCATTGCAAGCGCTTGGACTAGATGACCCTTGGGTCTCTTCCAGCTCTATGATTGTATGGTCAAATGTTGCAATCCTCCTATCCGAAAGCAAAATGAATGGGCAGCTGAAATATAGGTCTGCAGACATGCATGGTTTATGGGAGGGACACAGGTTTGGGATGTTTCCACACAGATTCTGCTCCTTTTTTCTGCTGGGTCTGCTGCTGACCCCTTGAAACCAGGGCCTTGGCAGCTGCTTTGCAGGACCTCTGTCACCTCACCCAGCCTCCTGTCTCTCTGCAGCTACATCTGGCACCACATTGACATTGGCTATGTCCAGGGGATGTGTGACTTGCTGGCTCCTTTGCTTGTGATTCTGGATGATGGTGAGTTCTCTCTATTTGCCTCTATGCCAGCCTTAACAGTCTGGGGAATTCTGGCTCTGATGGATCCCCTCGCTGGACTATTCATTTATTGGTTCATTTATAACATTTTTGCCCTGACTCTATGGTGCAAAAGCACCATTCATGATAGTTTACAGACAGAATGGACTACCTGGGGAGGTGATGAGCTCTCCTTTGTTGGAGGTTTTTAAACACAGATTGGATGGCCTCTGTTAGGGACTCTTTAGCTATGATTCCTGCATTCCTTGGGGTCACTTCTGACTCTACAGTTCTGTGATTCTATGAGATTACAATTTTATAAAAAGACCCAATGGAATAAGTCCACCAACCAAGGAAACAGGATCAGCAAATGTAAAAACATGATCACCCATGCCCAATGAGAGCCTGCTTGAATGAAATGGCTCTGAGCAACTGATGTGGGCTTCTCATAGGCATCTGCTTGTTCACTGTGAGAACAGAATGGTGGACTGGATGGGCCTGTTGGTCTGATCCAACTCTTCATGTGCAGGAGGGGGCCAAGTGCACTTCCCAAGGCAAGGTGCTCTGTAAGTACAGCCGCTGTGAAAAGACTCCCCCACTCTCTCATCCCACTCAGATGTGCTTCCATTGTGGGTGGGAGATTGTAGAATTTGGGCCTCACCCTCTTGCACCTCTCCAAATCCAGATGAGACAGGCTTGCCCACTCATGTTTCACAGCTTGAAGCAGGGACATGTCTGGTGTTTAAAAAAACAAATTCAGAGCCAGCTCCATGGCACATGGGAGGTAGCTGGTACATCAGGATGCAGAAAGCTCTGATGTGTGCTGATCCCCAAAGATCCACATGACTGTCAGACCAATGTGAACAGCCTAATTGGTGTGGCTTCCAGGCCATGGCTGGAATGTGGGGCTGCAGTTGGAGGAGGAGTATCCTGCACAGGAGAAGAAGTAGCACTTTTGTGATTTTCCCCAAGCCAGGATGTGTAAAACTGTCACCTGGACATGCATGCCTTTTGCAGCCAACACACAGAGAGCTCCTGGTTGTGTCCTTGGGTGGCCTGGGTCCTCTTCCTTCTGGGCAAAAGCAGGTGAGATCCAGGTCTACAGGGCACTGATTCCCCCGTTCTCTCTCTCTCAACCCCCCCTGCCCCGCCCTTGTTCAGAGGCCATTGCCTTCAGTTGTTTCACAGAGCTTATGAAGCGGATGAACCAGAACTTCCCCCATGGAGGCGCCATGGACACCCACTTTGCCAACATGAGATCCCTCATCCAGGTAAAGAACAGGAACTCTTCCAGTTCACCCTTTCCATTTCACCATGATCTGCTTGTCAGAGGCTTATGCAGAGGTTAGATCAGTGGTTCCCAAATTAGGAGGCAACCTCCCACCCATCTGGCCTAGGGAATCCCCCACTAACAGAGCCTCCATCTTATCTGGATTGGGCTTCAGTTTGTTGACTCTCATCCAGTCCATGACTGAGGCAAGACACTGGTCCAGCACTTCCACTGCCTCACCTGCAGATGTAATGGAGAAGTAGAGTTGTGTGTCGTCAGCATACTCCATAATGCCGGAAAACCCAACTCAGTAGTTTCACCTTCCCGTTAGTCATTCATTTACCCCACACTTTCCAGTGCATTTCCACACAGCTTTCTAAACCAGAAAATTCCATAACATGAAATTGTTGGGCCACGCTGACAGCTCATTTTCTGACTTCTACAGTGTCTCACGTCCGTCTTTGGATAGACACTTCTTCACAGTCTCTCCATCGCTTTCTGTTGTTTGCTTCCTGCATCCACACGAGCCCTACTGTTAGTTTTAGATTGCCCATCCACCGCACAGGTGGTCTTCTGAAATTGTATGGCCTCTGTGTTTGCTTTATTCCATTTTCCTGAGCCATCTCTTGCCACATGTCCAGTGCATGTGCATTTTAACTGCAACATTTCCTCCCATATCCATAAATTTGGATCTTTGCTGTATCCTATTTTTAGTTTTTCTGGCTTTTAAAAATATTCCTAACTTTGCACATTCCATGGCATGTTGAACACTTTCAAATCCAAGGAAATATTTTCATTTTTCACTATGAAGCTCTTCTTGTTGTTGTTGTTTAGTCGTTTAGTCGTGTCCGATTCTTTGTGACCCCATGGACCAGAGCACGCCAGGCACCTCTGTCCTCCACTACCTCCCGCAGTTTGGTCAAACTCATGCTGGTAACCTCGAAAACACTATCCAACCATCTCGTCCTCTGTCACCCCCTTCTCCTTGTGCCCTCCATCTTTCCCAGCACCTGTGTCTTCTCCAGGGAGTCTTCTCTTCTCATGAGGTGGCCAAAGTCTTGGAGCCTCAGCTTCACGATCTGTCCTTCTAGTGAGCACTCAGGGCTGATCTCCTTAAGAATGGAGAGGTTGGATCTTCTTGCAGTCCATGGGATTCTCAAGAGTCTTCTCCAGCACCATAATTCAAAAGCATCAATTCTTCGGCGATCAGCCTTCTTTATGGTCCAGCTCTCACTTCCATACATCACTACTGGGAAAACCATGGCTTTAACTATACGGACCTTTGTTGGCAAGCTGACATCTCTACTAATTATGCAAACCTCAATTTGCACTGGAATCCCACCCTTGGTTACCGTTTGGGGTGATAAGCTCATTGGTTTTTGCCTTGGGGCCTTAAGGAGGGGTGCCATTCCCTCCACATACACACCCCTGGAAAGAACCCAGTGCCTTTAATCAGTAGAAATTCAGTTGCTGAAAGCTCATCTCAGAGACACATTCTGCCTGCTGTTAGGCACAATACCTGTGCAAGGAAAATAAAGGGTGGCAGTGTTGCTTAGGTTCTCTGCTTGATACTTCCATGTCCTGTGAAGCTCTTTGAAAAAGAGGTCAAGGGAGTATTGAGCACCTTGCTGCATGTAGGATGTGGGGGTTTTGTGGCGGGGGAGGGACAAATGTGGTTTTCTTGCAGAAACAAGATCCTGAAGCTTTTGCTTTTCTGGTAGATTTTAGACTCTGAGCTGTTTGAGCTGATGCATCAAAATGGCGATTACACGCATTTTTACTTCTGCTACCGCTGGTTTCTCCTGGATTTTAAGCGAGGTGCGTTGGGGGTATGGGGTCTGCATCTGCATTTTGACTTAAACACATCTTTTAACACTAGCTGGAGCAGCATGAGTTGCCCTGATAGCATCCTGAAGACAGGAGTTGGGACAAGGTAAAATATAATTGCCCTTCTTTGTTCCTCCCCCCAATTTTTTTCCTGGTGTCCTCTTTGATGTTTGCTGCACAAGGCTGTTTGCTGCAGAGAATCCTGGGATGGGGGTCACTTCTGCATTTTAGGGTTGCCATATTTTAAAGAGCAAAAAAGAGGACACATTTGCTGACATACTTTTAACTATGGATCATTATGATGACTCTCATTTTACATACTGTCAGGGAACTGCCATCGGAAGGACAGGAGGTGGAAAGGCTCACTGAGGTTGAGAGAGACGTAGCAGCGGAAGAGGGAACCAGTAGGGGGAGAGAAGGAACTCCAAGGGAAAGTGAGTCGGAGGGATGGCTCAGAGACGCTTCCAGCGAAAACAGTGGGGAGGTCTCAGGACCTCCTATAGGGACACCCACTCCTCGCCGGAAACTGTTACGCAGAGAGTCCAGAAGACGTGTTTCCGTTAAGGAGCTTTTATGTTGGAAGAGATTCCGAAAGCAACCACTTTCGGACTCTGCTAGCGACTGACGCAGCCATGCCGGAGGGGCTCCGTCACAGGCAGAGGTTTGAGAACCTGATCAAACTCTGAGGGACTTGCATTTTACGCACAAGCAGCTCATTATCCCATCACACATACCAATGAAAAAGGACGTGTCCTGGAAAAAGAGGGCATATGACAACCCTAGCTTTGGTCGCTTCAGATGGCTTCAATGACTGTTCTTTTTTTGTTCCTGTTTTCTAACAGAGCTAGTTTACAATGATGTCTTCTCTGTCTGGGAAACAATCTGGGCAGCAGCACAGATCTCCTCGTCTCATTATGTCCTCTTCATTGCTCTTGCCTTGGTGGAGGTTTATCGGGACATCATCCTGGAGAACAACATGGACTTCACAGATATCATCAAGTTCTTCAACGGTACAGATTGTAATGGGCTGGGGCTGAAGTTGAGGACACTTTTCTGTCCCAAATGACTGCACTGCAAAATCTGTGCCCCTCAGGAATAGGCACCAAGCCAGCCTCCAGGAGTCCTGAGCCAGGGACTTTGAGGTTGAGCTGCCTTCTGACCTCTGTGCAGGCAGAGAGAAATGTTGGCTTGTTCTCAAAACTGTAGACTTTGGCCTTAGTCTGAGCAATCTTTCACTTACATGCAGACTGAGCTACAGTGGTACCTCGGGTTAAGTACTTAATTCATTCCAGAGGTCCGTACTTAACCTGAAATTGTTCTTAACCTGAAGCACCACTTTAGCTAATGGGGCCTCCTGCTGCCGCCGCACCGCCAGAGCCCAATTTCTGTTCTCATCCTGAAGCAAAGTTCTTAACCTGAAGCACTATTTCTGGGTTAGTGGAGTCTGTAACCTGAAGCGTATGTAACCCGAGGTACCACTGTATTTGACTTCTTGCTGAGCTCTTTTTTTGCACCATCTTCTTGCTTTCCTGCCCAACTGATACGTGTGTGTTGTGAATGTCCTCTGTATCTTGCACATGACATACAGATCCTTTTTTTTAACTAGAGATGCTGGGGATGGGACTTGCGGTGTGCTGAGCATGGCCTCTCCCACATAGGTGTGGTCCCTTCCCAAAGGTGTCCCTGCAGGATGCCTGAGTGTGGGGATAGAGGCAAGGGCAGAGACCTCACCTTGTTTTCTTTGAACCTACCCTCTCTTCTTCCTCTGTTTTGCTTGACCCTTCCTTCCTTCCATTCCAGAAATGGCAGAGCGGCACAACACTCAACAGGTCCTGAAGCTGGCGCGGGACCTTGTCTACAAAGTCCAGACACTCATTGAGAACAAGTGATTTGAGAGAACATCTGCCCTGGAGGAGGAAGGGAGACTGAAGCAACCTTGTGTACATTTGGAGGCTGGACTAGCGCATAAGGCAGAGAGCTAGAGAGGGAGCATGCCTCTCCCCATGAACTTGAGCCAGTCCCTGGAGAGGCAGTCTCCCAGCCAGTCATTCCATGGTTTGCATGGGCTGGGTGTTTTCAGCCACTGCCTGCTGGTTCTTCTGTTTCCGTGATGATAATTAACCAAAGAACTCACAAGCTCTGCCTCCTTTCTCATTCAGGTAGGATGGAGCTTGACTGGCACAAACCTTGCTTTGAGGACAGAGGTCAGTTGTTAGGTGGGTGGAAAGGGTGTGGCTGTTTATTGGGATGTCTGGTTTTATTACCTTCTGTTCCTGTTTGGAAAGGTCAAGGTGACAGCCTTGAAAAGGGGTGGCTGGGATCTGTCGTTGATTTCCCTCCCTCCCTTCAGATCTTCCTTCAGAGAGAATATTTTAAACAGCCAGCATTTTTCCTTCCCCTGTCACCTCCAAAATGTGCAGGTCGGGATCTAACTCTTGGCCCTTTAATCAAAAGGTGAGGCTTTGCCGAGGTCATCCTTTTATGGGGAAGCTTTCTCACCTTCTGAAGGGTGCCAGTTGAGGCCATCTCTGCCACTGAGGTTTGTCTGTCCTCTTCCTGATTTTCCTGAAATTTTCTGCAGTGCCCCAGATCGCTGTCACCATATTTCATTAGGAAACCGTATAGCAGACTGAGGCCAGGCTGGCCTGTTCCATCCTGCTCTGTGGGGATGCTTGCCATTCTTTGCCCTTGACCAGGGCCTGACAAAAAAAACATGTTCTCCAACCCAGCACATTTTTTGCTGGACTGAGGACTTAAGCATCCTGCTTTTCTATCATGAGGTTGCAAAGCCATCATGTATGTCCAGGGCCTTGATGGCATCTCGTTGAAATTTTTCTCTCGCTTCTCTCTTTCTGCCCTAGATGGCTCCTTGTGTTTCAAAGCAGAAAGCACCCGATGGTTGCTCTGGTCTAGCCTCAGGAGTTTCCTCTCTTCAACATTGAACCTTGGAGGTTGGGCTCGGCCTATTAACACACACACACACACACACACACACACACACTTTGCGCCTCTCCTTCACATTGTCCTTCTGAATGATGTGATAGTACAGGATACAGGATACTTCTTGGAGAAAGTCTATAAACACTTACTAGAGGAGGTAAGCCATCCTTCCCCAACCTAGTGCCCTCCAGATGGTGTTGAGCTCCAACTTCCAATATGGTCTGCCTGGCCAATGGTCAAGGGTGATGGGAGTTGTAGTCCAACACCACTTGGTGAGCCCCATGTTGGGAAAGGCTGATGGAAACGGCAGCCCATGGAGCTGATCCTGTGACTCCTCTGAAGTTCTGCCTCTGTGTTGACTCTGGTCAGCACCAGATTAACCAGTCTTCTTAGCACTCTAGTGTGAAGTAACATTGAGGACAAATATTTGAAATGGTCTGTGTTAAAAATTCAGGTGTTCTTTTTAAAAGAGAAGGAGAAAGAAACAGAGTGAAATTAAATGGGTTTCCTGATTTTAAAAAATCTCCTGAAAAGGTTGCCATCATGGCTAAGTGAGTGCCTATATTTTGTTTGGTTGTTGTTGTCATGAAAAGGCCTTCCTTGTAGCCAGTAAATGCTCAGCCATAGTTGCTTCTCCCTCTCACTCCAGAGGACTAGTCTCTTAAACAGTGCTGCAAAATCCATCCCACCCACCCTGCTGGGTCTCTGTGCTGGCTACTCGTACTTCCATGCTAAGCTCTTCCTATTCTTCCTTCAGGAGAGAGTGGTCAAAGAGCACCGCTTCCAAAGTGAGTAACCCTTAATGACCTCCATCCTTAAATTGGGAGCGGGGGTTCAGTCCTTGGCAGCTGCACTTCAAAGCAAGGAGCTCTGTCTCAACAGTACAGTCAAACTGGTTTAACTGTCCCGGCTTCCCTATGCAAAACCCTGGGGATTTGAGTTTGGAGAGGGAGCTGCTGACCTCGCCCAAGCCCATTAATTTTGCCCTTCCCATTTGGCGCCCAAGCTGTAAGTCCCAGGCTTCCATCACTGGCTGTGCAAGGAGGCCATGCCAGGTGGACCAGTAGTGCAAACTGGATCCCTTGCCCCAAACAAGTTCAGCTTGGACTTCCCATGGCCTTTGGTGGCTGGTTGGACTTCCACAAAGTGGTAGGGCACTCCATTTTTCTGGCAAGTGTTAAAGAATCAGGCACCGCCCTCCAAAGCAGACATAGGCGCATCCCAGGCTCAGCCAGATATTAAAGCACAAGAGAATCGTGCCCCTGGGCAGTGGTGCCAAGTGGGCTTTTGCCCTTTTGTCCCCATAAGGAAGGGGAACAGTTACAAAACAAGTTACTTCCTCCTGTTCTGGAGCTGATCTGCCTTACTACTTCTACCCCCAGAGCTTTTTCTGGGAGATGGCAGGGCAATGTGGTGTTTTAAGGATAAAGTTTGGGACTGAAGGATCCATGCAGTCCATGGGGTGGGTGGGTGTACGTACATGTTGCTTGTGCTGGGCTTTTTGACTGTGGATGCTAGTGTTTCCACCCTCCTTTCTTAAAAGCACAAACTTGATCTAGTGACCTGTTTCTGAAAGATAAACCTTTCCACTTTGGAAAACTCCAAATGAGAGAATTAAGCAGGCTGACTAGCCCTTTTCTGACAGGGCAGTGTCCTTGCCAAGCAAGTTGTGAGGAGCCAGCTGCCCTGGAGATGGCAGCGAGAAATAGTATGATGCAGTGGAAAGAGCATGGGACCTTGACTTGCTTTGAATTTTCGCTCACCCTTCTTCCTGCCCATCCAGCCTACTTCACAGAGTGACCGTGAGGACAACATGGTCCATCTTCTCCCCTTTATTGGAGGAAGGGTGAGATGCAGTGTGTAGGCTGCATCTGCAGGGGATTTTTGATGTTGTCTTTGTTTTTGACACTATGAGAAGCTGTATCTAAATTTTGAGAAGTAGTTTCTAGTATATAACTTTGCAATTGTTAGCACAAGGGTTTTCCACTCCCATATCACACTCTTGTTTTCAGAGCAATGCTACATCACCATGAACTCATTGCACTCACCCCTTGGGGTGACCTTTTAGTTTTTCTGAAATCCCTTTAAAAAATGGTTTTGTTTTAAAAGCTAGCTGAGTAATCAAGCCGAGCACTTTCTGCCTATGCTATCAGAGAGAGCATATTTTGGCCATTTGATGTCTTGCTTTGTGTGTGTGTGTGTGTGTGTGTGCGCGCGCGCGCATGTGTTTTAAGGAGAGCACTTTTAAATGCACTTTTATTTACAGGTCTTTATTGATTCTCTCTGTGCGTCCTGAACTCTGTGTGCGTGAAGCATTATGCAAACGAATACATTCTTTTCTCAATGTCGCCAAACATATCTTTTAAATGTTGATCAGGAAATTGATTGTGTGTGTGTGTGTCTATATCTATATATTATATAGATACAAATATTATATGTACAGTATAGAAAATGTATATGTGAGTTAGGCAGGGTACTAAGAAATCATTGCTTTTAAGAAAAGCGTTTTGCTGCTCCTCAGATGCCAAAATTCTTTGAGTGTATTGGGAGTAGTAGTGGAGGTTTGTTGCTGTTCTGTTGCACGTCAGAGGATAAAGACAGATAATAGTTTGCAAGAAAAAGTGGCTTCATTCTCATCCCATCACCTTGCCAAAGAGACTTGGCAGGTTTCTGAATCCCTATGAAAACCTTCCAGATTTTGTTGACCAGAGGTGAGTGTGCATGCCACAAGCATTGATTCCCTTTTTCACATTACCTAAAAAAAGAAAAGAAGTCTAATTTTGAAATTACAACACTTGGGGCTAGCGTGCATGTCAAAAAATTCATGCACAGAATGCCATGTCTGTCAATGAGAAACTGGCGTGGATCCGGATTGATTTGGTGGGGCAGAGGCTGGATGTGCTGTTAACTTGTGCATGAACCTGCCCTTTGAGTAGAAATGCTATCATGGGCAGCCTTTGGAATCTCTGGCTGGAGGACTTTTACATCCTTGAAAAAGACAGCCCATGTTATCTATACACATTACGACATCAGGTGAAGCCTTGGGCAGGGGAGAATAAAACCAGCTGTTACTCTTTGCAATCCTCTAAAAGAATGTTAAGCTAACACAGCAGGTGAAGCCTTGGGCAGGGGAGAATAAAACCAGCTGTTACTCTTTGCAATCCTCTAAAAGAATGTTAAGCTAACACAGCAGGGGGGCTATGGGGGGACACACACCCCAGAAGCTGCTGGACCTCCAACTGCCGTCACCCCTGACATCTGCTGGTCATCCCTGATGTGAGATGGGAGTCCACAACTTTTGTATAACACCCCCCCCACACACACACATTATTCTCTTTCAGCTGCAGCGGAATTAATTTGACAGCCCACATTTAAACACTTGACTCTAGTTTTCTGGTCATTCTTAAGATGAAGAGATTTCTATTATTTCAACGGTGGCCAAACACAGTATCAGGCAGTCATTCCACTAGAACTTTTTGTTTCTTATTACAATCATGGTTGAGAATGTGAACCTGTTAGAATATATAAAAAAGTTGTCTAGTAGCACCTTAAGGTAAAGGTAAAGGGACCCCTGACCATTAGGTCCAGTCATGGCCGACTCTGGGGTTGCGGCGCTCATCTCGCTTTACTGGCTGAGGGAGCCGGCGTGCAGTTTCCGGGTCATGTGGCCACCATGACTAAGCTGCTTCTGGCAAACCAGAGCAGCGCACGGAAACGCCGTTTACCTTCCTGCTGGAGCGGTACCTATTTATCTACTTGCACTTTGACGTGCTTTCGAACTGCTAGGTTGGCAGGAGCAGAAGGGTCAGCAGTTCGAATACCTGTGACGGGGTGAGCTCCTGTTGCTCGGCCCCTGCTCCTGTACTCACCACAGCACCACCCGCATCCCTTATATAGATAAGTAGAAGGTTTTAAAGGAGGATTGGACAAATTCATGGAGAATAAGGCTATCAATGGTGTTTGCATAGTTCCTATATGCCCCTCCTTTTCAACTGGGACTTAAGTAGCAGCTGGAAATTTTGGTGATAATTGCCACAGATATGTTTTTTTAAAGGTTTCAATTGCTGCTATTTTGGTGTTTGAAAAAGCACACACTCCTTCCATTGCAACACCGTTCCTGCTTTTTCCTACGTTGGAGCCAAGCTGACTTTGATACCTGTTCTGTTGTGTGTAGTAAATACCCTTGCCATTGAACACCAAGTGTTCTTGTGTTCTCCTCTGACTAGTGTACAGTGCTGGAAGAAGCAAGTTTTGCAACAGGCTGACTGTGGAATATTCAAGTGGCATATTTGGAAATAACTGTTCCAGCCAGCTCTTTTTTAGTGTGCGTGTGTTTGTTTTCCAATGTCAGCTCTATCTGAAGACCTTAAAGCAAACATAGGGAACCTGTGGCTCTCCAGACATTGCTGGACTCCCATCTCTCATCTGCTGCAGTCAGCAGGGCCAATGATATGGGATGATGACAGGAGTTGTAGTCCAGCAACATCTGGAAGGCTGCAGGTGTCCCATCCGTGCCTTAAGGGAATGCAAAGTTCAAAGCAGAGAAAATGTATTGCTGTGCTTTCATTTAGGGGTGCCTCTGTTCTGCTGCATGTCTGGATTCTGGCCCCAATCCAAAGTTGTTGACACCCTCTGATGTGCACACACACACCAAGGTTGCAGGTTCGATCCCTGTACAGGACAGCTGCATATTCCTGCATTGCAGGGGGTTGGATTAGATGACTCTCAGGGTCCCTTCCAACTCTACAATTCTATGATCTCCTCCTGCATATGGTGGGGTGGTGATGGAGAAATCCCCATTCATTTCAGCAGGGCGGGCTATCATACACAAGGAAGTATGCCAGAACAAAGATGAGAAGCACTTGTGAATTGGAGCTGTGAGATTTGTGTTCATCTAAATCAGCCTTCGCCAACCTGGTACACTCCGAGTGTTATAGACCAGTGTTTTGCAACCTTGAGCCCTGAGATGTTGTTGGACAACAACTCCCATCATCCCCAGCCAACTTAACCCAAGGCCAAGAATGATGGGAGATGTAGTCCAGCAACATCTGAGGACCCATGGTTGAAGGGCACTTTTTTTTTTAAGACTACAGTTCTTATCAGACCAAGCCCATGTGGCCTTCCTTCCATCAGCCCCATCATCACGCAGCTGCGCTGGGAGTAGGGGCTGATGGAAGCTGGAGCCCCACAACATCTGGAGGGTCCCAGGTTGGTCTACAGCAGGGGTCAGCAAACTTTTTCAGCAAGGGGCTGGTCCACTGTCCCTCAGACCTTGTGGGGGACTGGACTATATTTTGAAGAGAAAAAAATGAATGAATTCCTATGCCCACAAATAACCCAGAGATGCATTTTAAATAAAAGCACACATTCTACTCATGTAAAAACATGCTGATTCCTGGACTGTCCACAGGCCGGATTTAGAAGGCGATTGGGCCGGATCTGGCCCCCGGGCCTTAGTTTGCCTACCCGTGGTCTACAGCTTCTCCGTGTGAATTAGCAATTGTTGGCTTGTGGGCAACTGTGTCCTAATCACCAGAGCTTCGTTTTTGTTTTAACCAGGGTGGGGTGCATAGCTGTCAACTTTCAGATTTGAAAATAAGGGATCAGCAGCCTCGAAAATAAGGGATCAGCAGCATAGCTGTCAACTTTCGGATTTGAAAATAAGGGATCAGCAGGCTCACCTGTCCCGGAGACAGTCTATGGGATATCTAACAATCTGGGATAGCAGCGGGAAACGGCACTGAAATAAGGGAATTTCCTGCCAAAAAAAGGGAAGGTTGACAGCTATGGTGGGGTGGGGCTGGGGGCTCCATCTTGGCCAAAAGAGACACACCCAAAGCTGGAAGCTTAGTGGGAGTTCTGGTTGGAAAGGTGGTCTCTCTCTCTCTCTCTCTCTCTCTCTCTCTCTGTGTGTGTGTGTGTGTCTGTGTCAAGCAACCCAGGAAGGTTCTTCAGGTACCTTTTTTGGAGCAAGAAAACATGAGCTCTGAATGTATCCTGTTGAGTGATTGCTGCCTGACACAACTTGCTACTGCTGCTGCTGCTGCTGCTGCTTTGTGTGTGTGTCTCAGCGGGCTCCTTTGGGCTACTCTGGTATCACTCCTTATGAGATGCCCTGCTGTTGCTTTCATAGTTAATGTTTGACAAGAAAAGTGCTGCTTTTTGCCTGTTTCCATTCCGCTCTGTGGCATAATCTTGGTTATTTTTAAAAAAATCTGCTTTGATATTTTGTTAACCGATGTTAATTGTAACTTATTTCTGTGGGGCCAGAAAGACAAAAGAAAGTTATATATTCTCTATGGTTCTATGTATTTTCAAATCAATAATTAAACAAACAAACAAACAAACAAAATATGGCTGTTATATGTAACAGTTCTGGTGTTGGGATTGGGACAGATTCTGAGTTATGTCTCTCTAGCCTGGTTTGCATATAACACTGAGCCCTGCTTGTTACGGTTTATTAACCACAAACAAATGACACCCATAAGCCACAGTTTTTGACTTATAAACCCTGCCTTGTTTTAAGCATGGCTTCTTGTATTATCATTAGAGGGTGAATAAGAGCTATTCCATGCTGTCATAAGAGGGTGGAGTGAATGAGATTGGACCTCTTATAATGCAAACAGCTTCTGCAGTCTCTACGTCAGCCCATTTGAAATGGAAGTTAGCTCCCCATTCAGCAGGCACTAACTTCTCACATTGTAAAGTATACTGGGCACTCTGAAGGACACAGGACAATATACTCATTCTGGTGGGGTGCTCTTCTATTCTAGAGCAGCCAAATAGGGCCAGGCCTTGGGCAACAGCTCTTTCAGGTCTTGGGCTTTCCCAGCCCTGCTAACCCAGCATCTTTCTACTTGGAGTTGAACTTGGAACCTGCATCCGAGGCTCATGTGTCCCCACAGGACTTTCTGCACTCTCCTACCACCTCTGCTCTTAGAGGGTTGTGTCCCTCGCTCCCCATTAATGTAGAATAATGATGAAGATGCACATACAGTTTCCGGCTGTCCACCCACCCTTAAGGTTGCCAGGTCAGGAACATCCCAGACTCTGAAATTTCAACTTATCTGCTCCTTATAACCAGCCCTGAGCAACAGTCTGGCTGCAGCTCTTTGAGCCAGTTGATGTTTCTGAGCACTTTTCAAAGGTAGCCCTAATCCATACGGATTGCAACTAATGCATGTGTTACTGGCCAAATCAGACATCTCAATGAATGGGTGCAGCTGGTGCACTAGCTGTAACTGCGCAAATGCACTCCTGGCCAATTCAGAAACCTTAGCATCCATGCTCAGGGCTGAGTTCAAGAGAACACCCAAACTATGGACCTATGTCCTTAGAGGGAGTGCTCCCCATCCAGCACAGGATGAATCCCGATTCCCTG